CTCTAGACAATGTGCAGATAAGAGTGGGAACTCATGCACAGAGTAGCGTCCCTCAGTACCTCACTGCTCTCTTTGATACTACTACTCATTGCTACTACTAGGGATTTTCTCTTTAAATTTCTCCTTCTGAAAACAACCCATTTACAAAGACTGACTGTTTAATTCTAGGTTATTCGAGCTTCTTTGAAGATACTTTGCAGCAATGAAAAAATAGCTCCTGTCTTCCCAGCTGCTTTTAAAACCACCACTGACAGTTGTCCTTGCCTTTCCTTGGCTGAGGATTTCCCCTTGCAATGTTTTTCTCCCTGCATAATTCTCTTCCCCAGGCTAACCTTTCTTAGCAGAACTTACTTGAGGGAATCTACCCAATTAGACATTTAAATCAATTATGCTGATTGACAGGAGGATTAAGTCTAGCATATTCTTGATTGCAGACACAAACACTCAGCTGCAAGAAATACCTGCCTCATATAAGGATTGCTGAGGCTTAATTAGTTAATGTTTGTAAAGAGCTTTGAACGCATGAAGTGCTGTACCTGCTCTGATATTCTCTCTGTTCCTAGTAATGGAGGCTTCAAATATGGATGTGGCAAAAACAAGGATGGCAGACAGGGACCTTGACCCAATGCCACTGGGGACCACAGCTGCAGGAGAGGACAGTGATGTCTGGCAGAGCTTTGCTCTAACTAAACATCTCTGCTGCTCTGTGCTCATGAAGCCTCTCTCAGTTCTCTGCAGGATGGCAGGAGCTCCTAACCTCTACCTCGCATCAGGACTTTCCCTCACACTGGAAGCAGCATCAGATCAGCAGGCAGGGCATAAGTGAATTCTGGATCCAAATTGTTCTGCATCCTGTTCTCCAGCATTCTTCCCAGGAGGGAATTCAGGCTGTCTCTGCTTTTAAAGAAGTGGCATTCACTGCCATCAAGACAATCACTCCTAATAAATAAACAAGAGCTCAAGTTTGCAGAGGCCTTTGAGGCTGCCCAAAAGCAGCACTGGTATTTATTACCAGCTAACAGACACCTAGGAAATCTTCACATTAACATTTGGAAAATCTCCACACACCTCAGTGATACAAAAAATCTCTTTTCAAAGAAGCATACAGAAATCTTCACCTGAAAACCTAAATTTCTCTGGTTATATAGGGTTAAATACAGATTAAGTTTTGCAAGGTGTATGCTTCACCAAAAAAACACTACACCTGAAAATCAGTAAAATAACTAAGTATATTAACTAATATGCAAATGACAATAAGTAGTTTTTTTCAGCCCACACAGAACTGTCTTACTCAAATTGCACACACATATGAACTGAAAAACTTTTAAGTTTGGGACTCACAAAATATAGTTTGGACTGGCATTAAAAAATCCTCATAATCCAACCATTGTAGCATGCCAGCAAGGAGGTTTCCAACTAAAAAACAAAGCTGTCCTTACTCTTCCTCTGTCAGTCCATTTGACATTGAAAACATATTGAACAACAGTCAGTCCTGGTGTTTACCTCGCCAGAATGAAGCTGCTGAATTCTTTGTCTGTTCTCCTCCCAGAATCCCTTGTACAGGATCTGCCCAAATGTTCATCCAAAGTACCCTCCTGATCAAGGCTGTGTAGGTTTTGGTACAATTCATAGCAGTCCCACCACTGATCATTAAAACAATGACCTGAAGAGACTATTTTTGCCAGCACATTTTGAATAATGTTGAGGATTTTTCTTCTGCTGTGAGAAGTAGAGAAGGCTATCTGCTGGCAGATAGCCTCAACAACCAACACAACAGAGGGCATGCACAGAATGTAATGTTGAGGATTTTTTTCTGCTGTGAGAAGTAGTAATGCTGGCAGATAGCCTCAACAACCAACACAACAGAGGGCATGCACAGAATTCAGCACTTATACCATTAAAACCTGTGTGCACACACACAAGCTGTAAACCTGAAAAGCCTCAAGCAATAGTTATTTCCAACTAAGGAAAAAAGTCTCCATCACCAGCACTAACAAATTTAAACAGAGAAATGCCCTCAGAAACACCAGCAGATCTTTTAATTTCAAAACATACATTTCTGAAGATGCTCATGAAGGAATCTGCTACTGGCAAGTACACAGGAACTAAGTTTAGTGTCACAGAAATACAACACTAAATGTTTGTTTTCCTTAAAACCTAGATTAACAAGCAGCAGAAAATATTCTAAACAACGGTGGGATCTTCAAGGCAAAAGCATAAATTGTACCAGTGTTTCACGGGAACAGAAAATCTAAAACCCATATTTGTGTCTTTGATTGATAATCAAAGACACAAATATGGGTTTTAGATTTTCTTTAATAATCATCAATTATGATGATTCCCACAATCAAAGCTTAAAAAAATACTAAAAGAAACATTCTATCATAAAAGAAATACAGGTTTATTTTCAGTGATCACCACACTCAGTGGTTTCTTCTGGAGTTTAGAGAACAAATTCTTTTCTGGTCATTAAGGGATCTATCTGCATATCCTTGTTCCAGTTTACCTGACACATCCTGCTGCCTTTCCCCAGGTAAGTCTATACCTAAACACAGGTTTTGGAATATTCTGATTTTATAAACTTACCGGTTATTAGCCAATAATTTATGTAAGGCTTCAGCTATTAGGAGGAGTTTATTACTGTCACATTCTAACATCCACCTCTAACTTCTGTCCCCTGAATATTAACTGTGTGAGTTATGAAAGCATGTAAAAAGAAACTTCCATAAAATTCTCCTGTGGATGAATAATTGCTCAAAGTTACTTACATGGTGGAGGAGTTTTGCTCTTATTTCTTTTAAGGGATTCTTCTCCTATCCTGTCATTAGAAAATTATGATCCAGGTGAGATAATCCAGTGGTTGCCATAGTATCTGCTTGGAATCAGCTATTCCCAGACACACAAAAGTAACTGGGGAACCACCACAGGAATGTCACACACCAGCAAAGGTAAAGACATTTTTTATTCCACTCATGAAGCTCTGTTGGATTTGTCTACAGCACTGATTTACTTCAGAAAAGAAAACATTTTAGAAAAAAGTTATACTTACCTTCAGCTTTTCCTCCTGTTTTATTTCCCACTTCTTTCTTTCAGAATCTTGTTTGTTTCAAATCACGAGGGGCTATTTAATATGGTGTCTCTCCCTCTTTCTTTTTTTGAAGAAATAATACCTTAACAGGACACATGCTGGCTTTTAGCCAAACAGCCAACATACTCCCATTTTCAAGAACAATTTTATGCTTCCATTGGAAACACTGGTCAATAATACATTTTTCATCCATCGCTCACCATGTGAATGATATTTTGGACCCATTTAGTTCCAGCCTCATACTAGACACAAAAGTTCCTTCTGAGCTGTTAAATAATACATTTTTATGCTGTAACTGTGCAATGTCATTGAAACTCTCAACATTGCAAGCTGGGTAGTTGCAAATGCTTAGGTTCACAAAATTTAACTCTTCTTTAAAATCCAGCAATAAGGTTTTCTTGACAATTTACCATAGCAGTTAACAATCACACAATTCCATATTCTAGGCAAATTATCTTCATTGCTGAAATGCTTTATGTTAAACACTATCTAAAATGTTTTATGTTGCAATTCCTCATGGTAAATGCCTTCTTACAGTACAATGGTTGTCACTGAAATTTAGAAAGCTTTATAAAGACAGCAATGACAATGCAGGATTAATCTTTTATATAATTCAATACATTTTTTCCAGTGGCTATAAGGAGCACCCCTTTTTTAGACCTACACTCCTTATCCAATCTAGCAATCTCTCACAGCTCCAGTTGCAGCACCAGCTCAGCCCTACCAAGGTACTTCATGTTCTCACTGCACCAAATATTCTTATTGCTTTAATTGCTGAAACACTCTGGGAGTAATTCCTGCATTTCTCTGGTTTTTAATATGCTTCCAGCTCTTCATATCAGTTTCGTAATTTGGAAAACAAAATATATTTCCAATGACAGTTTAAGGTTATTAGCTTCGCTTTTTCTGATTTTCCAATTGCCACTTTGTCAAAACAGTTCTAATTTAAAAAGAAAAAAAAATCTGCAAGAATACAGCATCTGATTTTTATGATAATCACACGAATTTATTGCACTGCTGGACTCTGCCTTCAACTACTTCTGACACAGAAAACACATCTGAATCCCACTCCTAACAGCAAAGCATTAAATCAGATTTAATTAGCTGCCTATAAAAATTGTTAAAATGAAGTGCAATAAATTTGTGTGATTATCATAAAAGTCAGTCATTCCAAAGTGTTTACAGTTATTCTTAGAGTAATGAGGAGGCTGTGATGTCTTTAAGGACCAATATGCAATAAACTTTTCTCACTGGCAGCCACTTTGTCACACAAGCTCACATGCAGAGAAGGTAGCTTCTTCAAAAACACCATCAATATCCCAGACACGGTTTCATTTCCACTGCTTCAGGAGATATGCAGGCATGCAGGAAAACACCATTTTTAATAACAGAACTGAAATATACACAAGCTACTAAGAAACAGTCTCCTTTGAAAAAGCCACTTTTTGCAAGCAACTCAATTTCAAAGAGAATGCCTGTTTCCACAAAGAAAGCAAACCTTTTTCTAAACAAACTTGAATTTTACAGAAAAAGTTTAATGATGGGAGAAATCAATCCTGTACGCATTAAGCATAAGTGAAGCTAAGTCTGATTATCATGATGGCTCTAAAAACAAAACATACATGAATAAGACAATACGGGGCAAAAAATGGTGGTAGAATAAATCTCAGCTCCAGTTCTGCAAAGATTTGTGTTGGTTTTAATTGGATTACATGCAGCAGCAAAGAAAAACACAGCTATAAGTATTCAAAGGACTGCAGCATTAGAACAGGTTCTTCTACTCGTAAATGAAGTATATGAATATACACAATACTTACTGAAATTGCAAACCTTTTAAAACAAGCATTTCCAAATAGATACATTGCCAGAAGAAAGAAACAAAACAAAACAAACAACTCAAAATGCTTGGCCACACATTTGTTTCCCAATTTATTGGAAAGAACTGAAACATAACATTTACTGTATAATTTACCTTTATTGGAGGTACAGGTGAAGGAATAACAACTTTTCTGCTGAAGTCTACAATGTATTTTAATTTAGAAAATTACACCTTCAGCCAAGTTACAAATAAACCATATTGAAGAACAAACAGTGCCAATATACACTGTCAGCCCAGTTAAAGTGCCCATAATTCCTTTCAGGAACAAGAATGTCAACAGTGAAATATTACTCGTGGACTTAGGAAAGACAGAAAAATGCATGCCCAGAAACATAAAAAGCATTTGCTTTACATTGCTTAAATTAAAAGAAATCCAGGCGATAGAAGAAATTATAGGAAAAATAGTTAAGAGTGAAACTTATGTGTCTTTGGGAAGATCACTTTATAAGCACAGCAAATTTACTATAATTTCAAGCAGACTGAATACTTCCCCAAATCTGGGTACTTGCCAAAAAGCAAGCAGTCGACTCCTCAAAGTTCACTTTAACAAGAGGAACAAACCCCAAGAGCCTAAGCTCAGGGGATAACATCCCACTATCCCTCCATCACCCTATAGCCAAAAACTGCAGTAACAGAGATACAGGAAATCCACCAATAATTCCAGTCAGAAGCAAGGTGGCCAATTTGATGGTGTTTGAGTCCAGCTATTCCACATGGCTGCTGAACAATCTTAGATTAAGAAGGTCCCTGAATAAAAATCTGTGTTTCAGAGGAAACAGTCTCTGCTGTCATGACAAGCTTCAATCACAGGTCTCCTGGGCACACATTTGAAAATATTAGGAGACCAAATATAAGAGCAATGACCAAATTCCCATTGTTAATTTTCAGGCAGTTATGCACCATGCAGTGTGAAGCACCAGTCTTTTTCTCAGTTTCACATGCCTAAATACTTTCAAAATTTTTGCTCATTCCCATTTCTAAGGCCAGAATTTCCTGAAGAAAAACATATTAACATGTGAAGATTTCACCATTAGTAACATTATTAGCATGTGAAGATTTCACCAGCTCTTTCTCTTAGGCATGTGTTTTACTACCAAATGAAACATTGATTCAATTCTACATGCCTGGATGTTTTTGCTTGCTTCAAGTCTGAGAAATATTACAGTTAGGGCATGAAAATATGCAATCAGGCTTAAAAGCTGCAACCAACTAAAGAAGAGCCAAGTCAATGGTTAAAGATGATGGAGAGCCACTGGTTTCTAAAAGGAGAATATTTTTTGAATAGTCAATACCAGATAGTACAAAAATAATCCTGGAATAACTAGAACTTAATCAGGATCTGCATTATGAGTTAGGAATCAAACACCACCTTTTAAGAGGCATGAAAGGATTCCTACTCAGCTGATTTGCTAAAGCTTACAGCAAAGAGGTTCTTGCCTTCTATTGCCTTAGACCCAGCAAATCGGAAGTGGAACTTTCCTGTTGAGGTCTGCAATATTAATTAATATTTTGCACTTAGCTCTTGGTTGTTTTTCTTGGTGATATATTCAGACTCTCTTCACTGTCAGTATTTAAAGGGATGAGGACACTTGTTCCACTTGTTTTATTTTCAGTGGAATATAAAGCCATACGAGAATCTAACCCACAAAGACTTAAGGAAGTGCAAGAAGGGATATTTCTTTTTCTGAACAAATCAGCAGGAATTTGCTCTGAGTCTACAATCTCCCCCAGCTTTGAGCTTCCTCAGACATACTGTAGAGAAAGGAACAAATCAAGAAATAAAACTATTAAGGGGAAGATGACTCCAGGACACAAGGAGACAAAATACATTAGAAAAACTTCAGGAAAGGAAGAACAGTGATAATCCTCAATCACGGAGTGTGAACATGGTTCATATATTACAAACCCTCTTACAGAGCATGAAGATCAGGTCTGCATTGGAATGTCACACAGAGGGAAAAGAAAAGCCTGAGAAATGGCAGTAGGAGATGAGAGGGGATTTTCACCTCTTTTTGTCTTAGTCCTGCTTAATATTACTTTCAACATCTGCAAGCAAAGCTTGAGGCTGAGCTCTCCAAAATCATATGGGTTTTCATTGCTATAAGTAAATTAAACCATAATGTCTGGGGACCTGGACTCCCTTGGACAGCACAGAGATAGAGCAAGAACACTGGAAGCAACAAGAGAAAAGAAGGAATAATGAAGTAGGAGAGGAAGAAAGAAAGAAGTAAAAACCCTGAGAAGCACCTGGAAGCTTTTTCAGCCTCCAACCTGAAGGAGGAGGGCCTAATGCCACACATCTACTAGCAACACTGACAAACCTGTGCCACAGCACTGCCACAGCAGCATCTGTACTTACAGGTGCCATGCAGTGACCACCTGGCACAGTCCATGTTTAGCCTGTCTGGAACACAAAGAACATGAAAGAAAAACAAAATTATTGAAAAAAAATTACTTTTATAATCATTACAAGCAAATTCTCCATCTTCTGCACTATGAATAAGGCTGCAGACAGGTTCTTAAAGATGAAAAAGGCAACTTGTAACACAATCTCCAAACTTTCATATTCATTGTTGATTAAATATTTTTGTCACTTCAGACTTTACTCCTAAACAACTATTTTAAAAATAAGATAATTACAAAATATAGTATTGCACATCAGAAGCTCTTTTTCCACAGTTTCCTATCCAAAATAGATTAAATTAACAGATGATACATTATTACTAGTACTCAAATACGATGCAATGCTTTTATAACATTAGGTTACATTAGGTTCCCTTAACTCAGGGAAACACTTAAATCCATTCTTGTTTTCAGGAAAAGAAAAAGTCTTCCTGACTCAGAGACTCCAAAGCAGAAGTATGACATATTATATAGCTACTACTTGGGCATACAGCAGAGATTTGACTGGTTTGTTTCACCAAGTCTTGAACTCCACAGCAAGTCTTATTCCAGTAAGTATTAGAAATAAGCTAATTCAATTTAAAGTGCAATTCTCCTTTAAGAGTCAAATGATCTCTACTTTTATACATAATTCTTGCAGAAAAACAGTCACACGATGAAACAGAAACATGATGACAGCACCCTACACTTTTTGGTTATTCAGCAAGTTCACACAAAATATTAGCACTCACCAAAAAATAATATTCTGGTTCACATAGTTGTGAAAATGTTTTACTGATTCTGAAATGCTTCTGACATTTCTCACTATGAAATACACAGGCAGAGCAGCAGCTCTCCAAGTGTAAAACACCCTTCTTCATTTCTACAGGCTGTGTATTCAGTGCAAACACAACTGATATTTTAACATCAATATTATTTGCTAGCACATGGAACTTGAGGACAAAGAATTATAAAATGGAAAACCCAAGTGTTTTTTTAATTTACTTAATCAAAAGTTCTGAGATTCAAAAGCTGGTCTAGGTTATGGCCCCTCTCTGGGCTGTAATTTTCCCCCCACAGGATTTCTTTAAAACTGCATCCAATAAAAATATTAAAAACCACATGCAATAGAGCATCTGATGCTTCCCCCAGGAGACCTTTCCACAGCCAACAAGTTGTTTTTCCTCAGGTTGGATTTTCAGTTAATTTCATCCCATTGCCTATTCTCATGGAAGCAAGGAGAAAAAGGTCACAGTGAGGGCAAGAGATGGAAAAATCCAACCAAACAAACAAAACAATTCTAAACTACAGTGAAAAGGTGTGTTGATAAAAGGAAAACTGTGAAGGCAAGGGTTAACTTTAGTCACAATTTCCCAGCTTTTTCTTCTCCATCAGCATGGAAAAGTCACAGATGCACATGGATGTCTCCAAGAGGGAAAAAACTCAATAAGGAAAAATTACTGAGTCACCACTCCATAATTATGATTTTGGGAGAAAAAGCAAAGTGCCCTTAGAACTGCTTAACTTCCTATTGCCCAGAGTAGAAAGAAAACCTATTTGAAACTTGTTATTATTTGAACCTTGAAAAGGTATTATATCTTCCACCATATCTTCCACCTTCTGAAAACAAATGAGACCTACATAGTACACAGCACCACTTTCTTGTACCAGGAACACTGAACCATCTATTACCCTGAAAAATCAATGAAAGACATTGCCAAGGGAGATAACATAAAACATAAGATTTAGTCAATAAAGGTTTGTATTCCCTCACAACCTAATAAATGCAGTATCTGGCTGTTTATTTAATACATCCTACACTAAAGAATATTTTTACTTTTTATTCTTCCTTCTCTGTGGCTAGAAGGAATTAGTGAAAAGATTGTTTAAAGAATTAGTGCAACACGTGTATGCAGACAGCTATTTCGAAAACATTACAAACACGAAAATCCTGGAGGATATCATACAAAAAGGATGAGAGAAGAGTCACCACTAGTGTGAGTCACAGATGCAAACATGTGTAAAAGATGTAAAAGCCCAAATTTATCTAGTCCCCACTGCTTCCAACAGCGAGACTGCCAATTAACATCAGAGGAGGTGAATTTGATCTCTGTCCTTCAGAATCTCAGAATCAAAAAAAAAAGGTATGGCAATAGCCACCAACAGCTACACATTAAATTCCCAATTCATTTAGAAAAGAAAACATAAATGATTTGTTAATCAATAAAAAGAAGACAAAATGAGCTTGAAAGATTTCATGTATTCTCATCAACAACTTCCTTTCGGCGCTGGGCCCGGAAATGGCGCTCGATGTTTATTGTCACTTCCCTCTGCAAATTCCTGCTGTTAGTTTTCCCAGCTGTTCTGATCCAGGGGTGCTGAAGTACTTGACGTGCTGTGTAGCGCTTCTGGGGATCCACTATCAACAGCCTGGTGATGAGGTCTTTTGCTGCTATTATGGAAGAAAGCAAAGGGGAGAGGGGTGAAGCACAGTGGTGTGCAACATGCTCTAGGATGTGCAATCTTGTGCAATGTGCTCTAGCATGACCCTGCTCGAGCAGGGTGTTGAAACACATCACCCACCATGGTCACTTCCAACCTTAGCCATTCTGTGATGGTGACAGTTATACCCACACAAAATGTCCTTCGTACTTTTTTTTATTAGTTTTTACCATTAGTTTTACCTTTTGTAACTATCCCCAGGAGTTATTCTAACAACTGCAGTTAGAGTTAGTGACAGAAAATATTAAATCACCATGACTGGTGACATTCTCCCCTTCAGAAACAGAGGAGAAAGTGAAGGGAATTTAATCTCAAAAGTGTGCTGAAGGCATCGGGCTAAGTGTTCACATTCACAGGAATGAGCACTGGATATCTCATCCCTTAAGAGGCATAAATGTTGTAAAATGCTGTGGAACAAGTCCTTTAAAAGACAAGGATTAAAGGAGTTCTAGGGTTTCTGATTTTGAAGAGCCCACAAAAGAAACTGTACTACCCTGTGAGAAAGAAAAAACTACTACCTGCTGACCCCACTGTCAACAGGAAATCAACAGTGTTCTGCAGGGCAAAGATTTCATTCTCTGCTTTTGAGATTTTTTTATAACATCTTTAAAATCTAACAGAGTCCTTGAGATTATTTTGACACCTTTTTCTGCAGAGACACACAAACAAGATGAGGAAAAACCTTGTTTTTGCTTAGAAAGGGAGGAATTGAGGACTCCATTAAAGTATTCTGAACAAATATGCAGAAACGCAGCTGTCGATAGTACCAGAGCACTAAATTCACATTTAAAGCACAGATTCGCACAAGAGAGACCCATAAAACACCCCAAGTTGATCAATGCCCTGAAAAAAAGAGTTTCTCCCACTTCAGGGAAGACTGCCGCTTCTCAGATGTGCTGTAAGTGCAGAATCTTACCTGCAGAAATATTGTCCCAGTAAGGGGACAGGAACTCGTAGTGACCCAGCTGTATGATCTGAAACAGCTCCTCTTGATCACGGTCCTGACTGCGGAAAGGGGGAAAACCACAGAGCAGGATGTAAAGGATCACACCAGCTGCCCACATGTCTACTTCGAGGCCATAGCCTGAGGAAGAAGGGACAAACCATAAGTCTTGTTTTAGAAAGAAAACTCACAACTGCAAGGCAACTGCTTCTTGGAAATAGAATGAGAAAGAAACACAGAATCTCTGCTCAGTTCCTTAAAAAGATGAGGTGAGCAAAAGAATGAAAGAATGAGTGGCTGGTACACCACACTTACAAGCTGCCCATTATTAGCTACAGCTCTCACAGAGTCTCTCTTTTCCACAACATGTTTCACAAACACTGTCTCACAAGGCCAGAGTCAACTGGAGACTAATTGAGAAAACAGAGCACGTATTTCTAAAATAGTCATCATCAGATTGCCTTCAAAAAAGAACTAAGAGTGCCAAGTTTCCATTGAAATTGGATATAACTGGAGATGTGCAACCCAGCTCCACAGAACAAAAACCAGAAATAGATTTGTTTGAGTCACCAACAACACTGACTTCTTTCCAGGACTGAATCTTTTTGGAGATGAAATCTTCAAAATTCCTTGTGATGCAAAACATGTTTTGAATTGTTACAGAAATTTAACATATACGTTCACAATAACTTTGTATCATCAGGGGCTTTGGAAAGTTGTTTGGATTACATTGACGAAATGGGCTGAAACATGAACTTTTGATCATTTTCCCCTCTTTAGCTATTACTATCTATGATATTTTATGGCTTATCTGCTTGGAAGTCAGTGATGTATTAGCACAGACACTAATAATGCAAATATAACTGATGTCATGCTTGTATTTGTTAAAAACTAAGAGGTTTCCTTTCCTAAATTACACTGCTAGCCAACCTCCTACCCTGAAAAGATATTTCAGTAGGTTGAAACATTCTGGACTATTTCCATTACTAGAAAGTTCAGCATAATTGAAAGATTTATGACAAATTAAAAATATATACACTCACCCTTCTCAGCAAGTATTTCAGGAGCAACATACGTTGGTGTTCCACAGACAGTAAATATGGGTTTTGTAACCTGCTTAGCAAGGCCGAAATCTGCCAGTTTCAGTGTAGTAGTTTTATCTGCATTGTGCTGAACCTATATCCAAACAAAATATATATATATATATGTTTAGTCCAGATGTATTTTAAAACAGCAAAATGTACAGGAAGAAGAAAATTAAACAGGAGGGAGTTCTAAGAATAGTACTAATAATGGAAACAGTCTTCAGAACATGGCTCCTTTCCCCCTATACACTAAGAAAGTGCATTTACTTAAGAGGATAAGCAATTACGGAAAAAAGAAAACTTTGTTCTACAAACTCTGGCACACTGCAGTTTCCAAGAAATTAAAAGAAGGAACACAAAAATAACCAAGAATCAATTAAATAATATTATTTCTTCTTGAGAAAATAAACTGTTCTTTTCCCCTAGGAAAGCGAGGAAGAATGCTGTGGACTTAAATGCAATGAGCCCATGTACTGCTTTTGGTTTTTAGCCCCAGACAGCAACTAAGTACCACACAACTGCTCAGTCACTCATTCTCCATCTGCCCGCAGTGGGATGGGAAGGAGAACCCAAAAAACAGTGGCTTGAGAGAAGAACAATTTAATAATTGAAATTATTAAAGTACAAAAATAATAAATTATTAAAGTATAATAATATTAATAATAACAGTAGGAATGGTAACAACTATAATGAGAAGATGGACAGGGAGAGGGAGAGAGAGCGAGAGCAAGAGAAAGGAATAAAACCCAAGAGAAACAAGGGCTGCACAATACAATTGCTCACTGCCCACTGCCACCCAGCCCAGCCACTCCTGGCCAACTCTCCTCAGTTTATTCACTGAGCATAATGTTCCATGGCATAGAATATGCTTTTGAGTCAGCTGCCCTGGCCATGCTCCCTCCCAACTTTTGGTACACCTGCTACCTGGCAGAGCATGGGACACTGAGAATTCCTTGACTTAGGATAAGCAGTGCTGAGCACCAACCAAAACATTGGTGTGTTACCAATGTCATCCTCATACTAAATCCAAAGTACAGTTCTGCACCAGCTAAAACCAAGACACATGGAAAGCGTATCTCCATCATGCTGGTCTAACAACAAAATACAAACCAACAAAAGTTTTATGTTCTTTCCAAATTACTCTGATACTCTACCTGCTGCCCTGAAACTAGGTTATTAATGGTTATTAATATAGCAAGAGTTATAGAAATAGGGTCATACAGAATGACCTTCTAATTGGGCCTTTTCAGCAGTTCTTCTCTCCTACATCCACCTGGCAAGTAGTCAAAACACCTTCTCCAACTCTAATTTTGTATGCATTGGTCTTTAGCATTACTTCATATTGCAGTTAATGAAGGATTATTTTGAGAAATGAAATGTTAATGACATAGACAGTGGGACTGAGCACACCCTCAGCAAGCTGGCAAGCAACACCAGGCTGAGTGATGAGTTTGACATGTCTGGAGCATGGGATATCATCCAGAGGCACCTGAACAAGCTCAAGAAGGCTGAGCCTCGTGAGGTTCAACAAGGCCAAGTGCAGGGTCCTACATATGACCTGGGGCAATCCCTGGTATCAATACAGACTGGGTTATGGATTGAGAGCAGCCCTGAGAATTGCAATTTGGGGTAGCTGGTGGATGAAAAACTGGAATGAGCTGGCAATGTGCAGTTACAGTCCAGAAAGCCAACCATATCCTGGGCTGCATCCAAAGCAGGGAAAGGGGAGGGATTCTGTCCCTCTGCTCTGGTGAGACCCCACCTGCAGTGCTGCATCCAGCTCTGGGGTCCCAGCACAGGAAAGACTTGGAACTGTTGGAGCAAATCCAGGGGGAGGCCAGGAAAGAGGGAGGGAGCATCCCTCCTGTGAGGAAAGCTGCAAGAGTTGTGGTTGTCCAGCCTGAAGAAAAGGTTCCAGACAGACCTTACTGTGGCCTTTCAATAATTAAAGGGGGCTTAAAAGTAAGATGGGGACAGGTTTTTTAGCAGGGCCTGCAGCAACAACACAAGGGGCAGTAATTTTAAACTGAAGGAGAGTAGATTTGGACTAGATACTAAAAATAAATGTTTTATGAAGAGGGTAGCAAAACACCAGAACAGGATGCCCACAGAGGTAGTAGATATTCTATGCCTGGGAACATTCCAAGTCAGGCTGGACAGGTCTCCGAGCAACCTGGTCTAGTTGAAATGTCCCTTCTTATTATAAGGGCTGGGGCCAAGTGACCTTTAAAGGTCTCTTCCAACTTAAACCATTCTAAGATTCCATATTCAAAGGCAAAGTCGTAAACAATGAAGCAGTATAATTATATAAATCAGTATGCTTAATAGTAGTGACTGACACTCAAATATCCTCTGAGGTAAAAAAAGTCATTAATTTCCTTGAAATGAAAAACTGTTTGTCCCTGGAACTATGGGGAACAGATCAGCAGCTAAAATGTCTACAAAAAAGCCAAGTAAACCTGGACTTAGTTTTGAATGGACAAACTGGACTATAATGTGACAGGTATACTCCGTGCTTTAACACCTCATATTTCACCATGTGGCTTAAGAAAGCAAAAAAATCAGGATGGTCTCTATTACCAAGTAACTAAAGGCACAGATGTGACAAAATTTGCTCTTATACATTAGAGTTGACTAATCCCCATTAATCATCTTTATGGAAACTGTAGGCACACATCCAATTTTGATTAAGCAAAATGGGTTCAGACTCCTTGGTGGGTTTTTTTTCTTTTTAAGAGTCAAAAAAAGTATTGCATTACAAAATAATACAGTACAAAATGGGTTCGGACTTCTCGGTGGGGTTTTTTTCTAAGAGTCAAAAAAAGTATTGCATTACAAAATAATACAGTAAAGACTACTAATCCTTTTTAACCTTTTTTTTTTTTCAAATGCACAAAACTGGGAGGAGTGACTGATGCCACAGAGTGCTATGTAGAAGGATCTCAACAGACCTGAGAGACAGGCAGGGAAAAACCTTTTGAAATTTAACAAAGAAAAGTGCAGGCTACAAAACTTGGGCAGGAATAACCCATGCATCAGTACAGGCTGGGGGCTGACCAGCTGGAACATAGCCCTGCAGAGGAGGAGCTGGTGGTCCCAGGGGACAAGAAGTTCTCCATGAACCAGCAGTGCCCTTGTGCACTCTTCTAGTTTTAATTAAGCAAAATACTTGGTGGTTTTTTTTGCTGCTCTTCCATGAAACAATATTTTTCAGTATGAAACTGAAAATAAAGTTTACTACGACCATGCCGTCAAAACTTCTGCAAGAAGAAGCTAAAATGCAACAGCCATTTTCTCTATTACATTAGGCAACAATGTGAAAATCTTTTGCCATCATGTGCTGTGGACACAAACTGACAAAAAAAAATAAAAGTAACGCTTTGTAGAACAACATCTATCTATAGAATTTATATTCTACCAATAGAGGTAATAGTGTTAAGAGGTTACAAAAATTCATAACTGAAATGCTCAATTTCATATGCAATACATATGTGAAAATCTTTTGCCATCATGCACTGTGGACACAAACTGAAAAAAAAAAAAAAAGTAACGCTTTGTAGAACAACATCTATCTATAGAATTTATATTCTACCAATAGAGGTAATAGTGTTAAGAGGTTACAAAAATTCATAACTGAAATGCTCAATTTCATATGCAATACAAAAATATGAGCATGAATGTATTTTCCTATCCTATACATATAGAATATATAATTCTATATATTTTTTTAAATTATATAAGAAAAGCATGTCACATGGAATTTCAACTACCCTGCATGCTACTGTACTAATACAAGCAATACTGAAATGTTTATATACATTTTTAGAAAACAGCAGGGTGGTGGGAAGGGTAGAAAACACAATGGTCTTAATCTCAAAATCTTCAGGAGATTTCTTGCTTTGTAAAATGCAGCGTTGCACTTTTTCTTTTCTCAGGATGCCAGACTCCTAATCTCCCATTACAGCACAAGGTGGCAACACAGCACCACCTGTTCTTTCAGGACAAAACCACTGAGCTTCCACTTTACTTAACAAGGGAGCAGGTAGGAACAGCAGGCATATTTTCACAACTTTGTGACAATCACTTCAGAGACAGCATGTAACCTGTCTGCAAGCCTGAAAACCTAACTCCAGAACTCAGCAGCTTCACTAACACTGTGATCAGAACAACTCAGTCAGCTCAGAGAATGCCCTTCATCCCCAACTTCCTACTGTCCAGTCTACCTTTCCATCAGCTGGCATCACCTTGAGCATGCAAGTATGCTTCACTGTAGAAACAAAAGCTTCTCAGATTCTTTTTAATCATTCCCAAGGCCAGACTACTGCCTCACAGCGGTATTACAGGAATGCACAACCTGCTCAAGACAAATAGAACCTCTGACATCCACAGTATGTATTCCATGCAATGGTGAGAACAAAGCAAAAATAGTGCTGCCTGCCTGTAGACTTAATTGAGGTAAGAAAGACCAGTACACTTCATACACTTTCTACAGACAGCCAACTTAGGCCATACAAATACAGCATCTGGTGGCCTTGGACTAAAGGCAGTCAAGTGAACTGCACACTACTTCCTCAAACAGAGATGACATGTCAGAATATTAGAATATTGCCTGAGAATTTCTAGCTATGCCAGCTATACAACCAGAAGAGGTCAAGTCAACTGCACACTACTTCCTCAGAGATGACATGTCAGAATATTAGAATATTGCCTGAGAATTTCTAGCTATGCCAGCTATACAACCAGAAGATTGTAATATAAAGGCAAATTCATCTTCAAAAGGAAAAAAAAGAAAAAGAATTTTTTTCTCCTTCTGTCCTGTCTGTGGATGACTCACAGTACTTAATGCTCTTGACTTCACATCTACCCTGTGAAATTAATCAGTATGTTTAATTTCATAATGATTTAAGACATTAATAGTTCTCTGTATGCACATGTATATGGTAACACAGAGTCTTCTTATGGACATCATGAAAGCCAGTTAGCCCATGTGACATTTTGTATATGGGAAACAGATAGAGCTTAAGAAAGATTACTGCTTACACATTTCAGTTTCAGACATTCCTTGCTGCTAGCTAGAAGAATCTCTATGAAAAATCTTACAGAAAATTCTGGAAGTTATGACACGTAAGTGGTTAAACAGGAGTTTGACTCACATGCACTCAGGAAACTGGCAGTGCTTTGTATATATGTAAATAGTGCTGGAAAATGGACAGTCCTTTGTATATATGTAAATCGTGTCACAAAATTCAAGGGCAGAAAAGCTATACTTGAAGCTCTCACACATACGTGAAAACTTGAGCGAGACAAAAAGGGGCAGGGGGACAATCTCAAATGCACAAAAAGCTGTAACATTTATGCAGCTGAGTGTTGAAGAATTATCAGAATGAGGGAAATGTACAAGGAGATGAGTACACAATCGCAAATACAGCCCTCTCCCTTCCCCCTAAAAAGGGGTGACTTTGTCTTTTACAGCTACAACATGGAAAAAAACCATCACATTTTGGGCATTAATTTCTCACTCACAAGTGAAGAAATGACAGCAGCTGTAGAATTAAACACTCCCTTACCAAAAAGCCTTGCCAGCAAATCTTGCTCCATGAAAGAAGCATGAAAGAAGTGACTGGCTTCATCTGTGAGACCAAACACACCACACCTTGCCAGCAAATCTTGCTCCATGAGGTAGCATGAAAGAAGTGACTGGCTTCATCTGTGAGACCAAACACACCACACTGCCCATCCTTGGCAGCAAAGGTTTTCTTGCTGAACACCTAGTCCTAGATGAGGTGATGCTGTTAGCAGATGGGAGGGAGTCGTAGCAGCTGTCTTCACACCAGCTGTCAAACAGATTTTGTTTTTGTAGCGCAAGTCATCACCCTTCTGCCTCACAGCTATGCTGCAAGGAGCCTGATCAATGTGGGCAGACACAGCCGCGAAAGAGGGAGGGGAAAAAGCAGAAAGGATGATGGTGGCCTGGTACAGAAGTTTGTAACTAGAGGACAGTTCCAGAAGAGAACTGAAGAGCAGTGAACTAATAGCTACACCAGGTTTCCACCTTTCTCTTGTGCCAATAATTTTACAATTAACTAGACATCAAAGTATATTTCTATCTTTTCTTCTGTGGGGACAGAAACTGTCTTCCTTCTTTCCCTAGTCGCTTATTTTCATGAAACTTTGGGAAATATTTTTTCCAAGATTGCTGCTTCTTTGTCATCTCTTATGACAATTAGCCAATATGTTTAAAAGTTATTAGGAACAGTGTTAGATTCTCACGCAAAGCAGGTTCAGAATAGACACATTTCCTTAGTAAAATAGACCAAGGATCCTTATTCTTCCATTTCCCATTTTCTCAAAGGGGAAAAACAGTAGACAAAGATTACAAGATCACCTGACCAAAAGAAGACCCAAAGTAGGACAAAAAAGTCAACAGCCTAAAAGTACATACTTATATTTTGACCTTTGTGTACAAAGTCTAGGTAGACTAATTCAGATTTAAACATCCTCAGTGTAAAAAGAAGTATCCCACAAACAGAGACGTCTCTGCCTGATGTTGGATCTTGAAGCACTTTGCTTCATCTCCTGATGCTCCTGCTCCACCAACAGCCAATGAACCCATGAAATTTGCTTCAATGCTGTTTGTTACTGTTCAGCACTGGCTGATGGTAAGACTAGTGGCAGCTCTCCTTCCTACTTTGCTGCCCAGCCACTCTAAAGAGACAGCGGCAGCGCACTAAAAAAACAGAAACCCTAGAATCTTGCTCAAATGGCCTGTCTTTATAGGAATACTTACTAGATAGCAAGTGACCTAGTCAATACTATCAGGACCTTATAAACTCATTGAATAGACTTGCTTTTCAAAAGTATACTTTGTGTACATGGTATCTAATACTGGTGTGCACAGAAAATTAACAGCAATTTGAAACTAGAACAGGTAAAATTTTATTTCCTGCAGTGTTTAGGTGACACTGTTCTTGCACAACAAAATACCTACAGTCTGGGAGCTGCTCTGTCCTTGAAAAATGTATTCTGACTTTCAGAATGGGCAACATGATTATTTCAGAGCTACACAATGCTGCCACTGCTCAGCATTGTCTGTTTTGCAGTTCTGTGAACTAAATGTGAAAACAACCGGAACAGACCTTTATCTTACCCTTCCTTGCTTATCTACATCACTGTGGTGATTATGTATTATAGAGGGAAATGAAGCATCAGATCTCAGGTGTTTCACTAAGCACTAGCTTATTTTGAGCAAATAGGAAAGAGCAGGACCTGGCTCATAATGGAAAATCAGCTTCTGGAAAAAGCCATGCAGTACTATGTGAAGTTTTGTTCAAACTTTGTGCAAATGAAACACAAAGGCAGGGCCTACAAGCCCACTTCTTCCTGCAAACCAGCCACTTGCATTCACTGCATTCAGAGTTGTATTCATTCTTTTATTTCCACAGAGATCACACACCAAAGATTTTCATTAAACTAAGCAGGATTCATAGCAGAACCTAATAAAGAAGCTATTGCTTAGTTTAAAAGTTTGGGAGCAAAGTGTTTCAGCAAAGCCTTGTACAGCCTCTGCATTTCTCCAGAAATTCAAACTGATCTCTGTGCAAAATTAATTCCCTGAAAAGCACTGAATGGTCCACAGGACTAAATAATCTATTACTTTTTTTGTTTGGCTAACCTTGAATTTCCAAAAAGCTGATAAAATCCAATTTGTTAGAGACTGGCAAATACTTACTATTTATCTGTTTATTAGGAAATTTGGAACCCTAATACAAAAGTGTAACACACACTTAGAAAGGGAGAGCTGTTTACTGTTACAGTCCACAATGTGAAGTTCTATAAGTGGGAAGTGTAAATACTACAAACATTTCTATGCATAGCCACACATGTCAATAGCTCTATTGACTTCAGTGCTGGATGCAAAGAATGCAGCCTCAGAAATGTGATGGAAACAAGAATTTTTCTCTTTGGCATGAAGTTACTATTTGAACTGACTTTCATGCTGTATTCACCAAAACACTTTACTGTCAGATTATTTAAATCAACTGCATAGTACTTCTGCTTCTAAGCAACGAAATTGTCACAAGATAGAAATCAATATATATTAGAGGACTTGCACACTGGTTTGCAAGATATACAAATGCAGTGGACAAAAGTCCAACAAATAAATAATTTAGCAATTTTAATAACCTTTAGTTTGCAAGGAAGATACTTTATGATTCATCCTTGGACACCTAAAAGTCAGATGCTAAGTAACAAGTTTGATATCTGCAAAATACAAATGCTCACTACCCCTGAACATCTGATAATTTTTACTTGAGTTCCTTTCTGCAATCACTGCTATCTGCAATTCACAGCAGATCTATGTAAAGCAAACTGCAATTGTAATTTTACTCCAAAATTTTTTCCATTTTTTCAAAGTGTCCTGCCACAGCACATTATTTCTATATGGGATTTGCTTAAAACAATTCAATGAACCATAATTGGAAGGAAAATAAATTCAATTCCTGCACAAATGCAAATGTTTGATGATACTTACCAAGAGATTCTCTGGTTTGAGGTCCCTGTGGACAATGTTCTTGCTGTGAATATAAACCAGTGCTTCACACAGGTCAGTGATCATGACAGCAGCATCATGCTCTGTGAACTTCACACTTTCTATGATTGCATCAAATAAGTCCCCTCCTGGGACATACTCTAAGATTAAGTAGATCTCAGCTTCTGTCTCATACACCTCAATTAAGCTTACTATATTGGGATGAGAGAGACTCCGAATAATGAGGATTTCACTTTCCATCATGTCCTCCTTCCCCTTCAGCTTGGATTTATCAACAATTTTCATTGCATAGATCTGATTGGAATCACAGTGGCGACATTCCTTCACCACTGCAAAGTTCCCATCCCCAATAGTTCTGCCAATCTCATAGTGTTTTTCCACATCAGTTCTGCTTTTAATGGCATGCCTCCGGCTTGTGCTTCCCAATCCCTGAGTTTTGTTGTCTTCTTTACTCACTCGGCGCTCCCCTGTTTTTTCTCGTCGAGTCATGTCACTCTCTCTACATGTGCCATTCCCTTCTCTTCTGGCAGCTTCCTCTTTAGCCCTTTGTCCCTCTCTGCCCTCTCTATGTGTTTTAGATATTTTCTCAGCATCCCTTAGAGTGTCTTTCTTTAGCCAGCCACTTTGGTTCATTACACAGCTACTTCCATTATCTTCCTTCACTTCATGAGACAGCTGGAGCCCTTCTACAGCATTCTTCCTGATTTTTACTACTTCCTTCCCATGGTTTTCATGCTTCTCCATATCCCTTTCTTTCTCAATGTTCCTTTTTTGCTTCTCCAGCCCTTCATTAACAACCCTATGTAGTGGCTTCCACATCCTCCTACCACCATTATCTTTCCAGTCAACTTCCTCACCCTCCAGACAGGTTTCAGGGGACTTTCGGCAGCTCCTGGCTTTTGTGTTTCTTTCTACATGGTACCTCTGACACATGCCTGTGTTCAAGTCTCTGTTCTCAAACGAGGCCTCAGCCTGCCTTTCCCTCCGTAACTTTTCTCTGGCCTGCCTTTCCTGTTCGCATTTCTCACACCTCAGCACCTCCTCAGAACTCTCTTCTAGGCCTTCCTCAGAACTCCTCTCATGGTTAAGGTACCTTTCACTTTCTTGTGTTTTTCTAGAAGGCTTTACTCCATGCTCACCACCCCAGCTCTCTCTAGTCCACTTTTTTTTGGTTCTCACTTTTTCCTCTTGCTTTGTCTTGGCTTGGCTTTTTCCTTCATGTCCAGCTAACAGCTGGGAAGACAAGCCATCACTGCAGTTCTTGGTCATTTCTGTCTCATCAAAGCCACTGTCTACTTTCGAGGCTTTGTCATACAGCCTGCCCTTCAGTTTTTGGGACTGCTCCTCATTTGTCTGAATGGCAGCACTGGCAGCATAAGGATTTTCAGGATAAAGTTCCTGTAATACCACCTCCAGGTCCTTCAAAGTGAGGGGCTCCTTTCCCATAGCTATGAACGCATCACCTTCCCGGAAGAACTCAGAAACACTTCGGATTTCTCTGCCTCTCAGATTGTACAGCTTTCTCACACGGTCATTCTTCCAACGAGGAAATCCCAGAGCTTCTGAAATGTCAGCCATCAGCTGCTCAAAGGTCTGGACTGATCTCCTGTTGAGAAGCAAGGTTATCCTCCTGAGCGTGCGTCCCCCAGGTTTCACCACTGTAATTATCCTTGGCTTCACAGGACTGTGCTCTGAATGTATTGTGTGAAAACCATTGTGGGGACTGAAAAATGAGGACCTGTGGCTGCTTTCACTCAAACATGGTTTTTCATAGTTTCCACGGCCAACAGGAGGACAAGTCCCATGCAGTTTCCTCTCTTTTACTTTTGAGCCTGTGTTGCGTGGCGAATGGTCCAACAAGCCTTGGCGTCCTAAGGCAAACAAAAAGCAGGAATATTTATCATTTTGCATCATCAGACCTCTTGCAGCAATAGTTTTCTATGTGTCAGTGCATGTAATTTCAGAGAGTAAGGGTAGGTGACTTCAAGGTTTATAAAGAACTTTTAAATACCACTAAGGAGTATCTCCACACAGTTGCAACTGCATCATTGTCAAGTTTGTGAGAAAATCTAAATTAATTTTGTGACAGGAATGTCATTAAAAAAGTAATACTATTGAAGAGAAGTAGATATTTCTTCTAAATCATCACATCTTTCAGAAATCCTCAAAGAATAGCAGGATTGCATCCAGATTGTTTAGTATTATCTTATTAATACATCTCACATAAACTCACTCAATTCCTTTCTGAACCCAGTTGCAATTCTGGCCTCTGTAAATTCTGTGGCGACAAGTTGCACAATTACACTACATGAAGTAAGATAAACTAATTACTTGTGTTTTAAAATTACTACCAGATGGCACTCTGTATGTAACCTTACATTTTTATAAATAATTATTTCCTCTTCATTTTCCCTGGACTTTCTATAACAAGTTAAATAAACTCTTTTTAAAAAACATTACTTTTGCTATAATTTTTACTGTAATTTTATAGGCCATATAATAGCAATGCAATTTAATATTTTGCCTTAAAGAAAGGTCATCTTATTTTGTTTGATAACTGGGGTCATGGTTTTCCATATTTTGGGTTGACTTTTTTATTCTAAAAATTATGTGAAGTCACACAAAGTTCTGAGTATTCTCTGGGGACATTGACATTTCATCTTAGAACATCATCAAAGAAAATGGCACCATTTGTTATGCATAATTGTGAAACAGAAGAACTGAAAACATAACATATGGTTATGGACAAACCAAGCTATAACATAATTCCCTCTCTATCAACAATAAGCTCAGAACAAAAACATCTCCCAAAAATATTCTGAGCTGTTGTACTTGCTAGGATAAAACCTGCTTACAATGCATTTATTTTCAGCCTCAAGAAATGTACATTCAGAATGAGATCAAGAGTGTTTCCACCTCTATTTAATAGCCTTGCTCCTCAGTTGGGAACAAGCATTCAGTATATATGAACTAACAGGACCAGGACAAAAGGAAAAACAGCCAGAATGGTTAACGGATCATTACAAGGAAATTTCTGTACACCAATGGCTTATCCCCCAGAAAATCAGGTCCATTTTCATAATTACTGTTATTCCATAGTCACAGTGCAGTGGCCAAATGCTCAAAGGAAAATCTGACCATATCAGCATTTCTCTTGGTGTTAGGCTCATGCCTACTACATTTTGGGTTTCAAGTGTGAGAAGCCATTTTCGGTATTTCACACTACATATTTTTATTTGTCCCTTCCATCAAGGCATAATAGAGTGAGGATGAAATACACCTCCTTTCCTAGAACAACAAACAAAAGGGAAAACTGCAGAAGTGCTGCAGCAGAGCATTCACTTGCTCTGGCTCAAATAATACCCCATAGGCCAGGGCCTGAGTGTGGAAAGCACAGGAGGAGACACCGCTATAGAATCCACTCTGCTGTTGCCTCTGCTTGATGCAGGATGATGGACGCTTCTTGGTTGTAATACTCTCACTAGCTAAACACTGTGTGCCCCCCAGCATGTCCCTTAACTCTTGGCTTCATTTTCTTCCCCTGCCAAAAGAAATAGATGCTTCTTCTCCAAACAAATATTACAAAGAAGCTCAGCTGCCAGCATGCTGATTGAAGACGTAAGCATTATATAAGAGCTACGTGTGACTAATGCTTGGTGGTTGTACAAGTTATTTCTGTCTCCATTCTGCTTTTTAAAGGATGATCTCTTGTTATCAAAAGATGACTACATACGTACTAGTGATTTCTCAACATTCACGTATTTACATTCCACCCAAAATAAAGCTTGCTGTGAATGGAGGGGGAAAAAATCAGCTGTAATAACAGTTCTCTGAAACCTAAATCAACTCCACAACATGTTAGTTACCAGGAACTGAGGAAGCTCTGAATTTAATCAACATTTCCAGGTTCTTGCGTACCCATTGTCATCAAAGCTTTATCTTGCTTATGGGAACTGTGAGTGACATTTTTACTGCTTATAATCTTGGCACAACATAAAAACAGTGGTGCACTAATAATGACTTTTCCCACAGATTATGTTCCTCCCGGTTATGCTGCTATTATCATATCTTTCTATAAACCATTGATTTTAAGTGCTTGGTTGTACTGCTGATTGTTTCAATTACCCAGGCATCAATTATGTTTCCTTTCTTCACTAAATTGGCTAAGCCTTAAGGAGAAGACAAACTTATTTTTTAATTCTGTAACTAATGGAATAAGAGCAGTTCTATGTCATTATTAAGAACAATACAGGAATGCTTTGTTCTTTCTAAACTAACCTGATTCCTAGCCAAAAACACTTTGACAAAAACCACAAGTTGATATATAACAATGTTCATTATAAGAGTAGAATTGCATATTCTTCTATGATAAGAAAGGAAATAACTGCTTAAATCATTGTATGAAAGCATCTTCTAATATTTTCCAAGAAAAAGGGAAATGTCAATTTTTTTCAAAGTGGTGGTCACAATGACTATATGTTACATATAATTAAAAATTCACTTCAGTTGCCTGTTACAACTATTTCAGTCATAATTTCTGTTATTTTCCAGTTATGCTATATTTAACTGATACACAAGAAGCAAGCCTCAATCTGTCAGGAAAGTGCATATGCTTAAAGCGGTAACAAGCATTTCTAGAAAGCCTTCAAAGGTCACACACATACCCAAATCCTATAGCTACAATTTATATTGCTTCAAAATCTTGTTTCCATATTTATATACAAGTGGGAGAAGGAGGAAGAGGGAGGTGGTGTGAGAAACACACTTCAATGAGTTCAAGCACTGGCAAATTATACCTCCGTGAATAAAATGTGCTTTTTCTTTTGCTGTCCTCCTGAGAGCCAATGATTATTAAATATAAATATTCTTTATAAATGTTAAGATGGATCGATGAGTGTGTCTGGCTTTATCTGTATACACATCTATCCATATTTTCTAGTGTATTATGGATTATCGATGGTGCAGCATGGCCCAGGAGGATGCCGAGGCTGCTGCTGTGGATGGGCAGGGGCGAGGCAGCACAGCTGCTCAAGGGCACCCTGCACACCACCTAAACTGTGCACTTGGGCACAGGGAAACAAAAACTAGAACCCATGGAGCAATACAGAGCTCCACATGATGAAGACATGATGGTCTTGTAGGGAAAACACTAACACCAACTCTCTAGAGAAGCATGGAGGAAGGAACAAACTGGGATTTGGGGGCTCAAACATGTAGTAGAAATAAGAAATATAGCACCTATGACCAAAGCACAGATGCTCCCTACAGAGAAAATGTACCCCCCTGCAGGGAGCACAGCTTCTGTGACTCATTTTTAAAATTTACAAGTCTTTTGTGATCATCACAGTCCATCCCACTGTGGGGGTGGGGAGGGTGGGAAAACACGGGGAGAAATCACAAAAATTCCTCTAGAAGACATTTCCTTGGAGTGTTTTGGATCATATTCTGGACACGGAGTAAAACTAAATTAATTCTGAAGACTTAAGCTCTGAATAACTTGTGTATACAGAACATCAAAATCTATATCTTAAGGAATTGTCTGGCTACACCAGCTAAAACAGCAAAGTAACAGGGTTTGCCAGAGGTCACCCACTGCAACTAAAAATGCATTGCTGCCATTTGTCTTTCAAAACTCATCCTTTCCCTTGGCCAGTCCATAAGCTTTTGTTCATTAATTAAAATATTGCTACTCAGCTTGCATTCTTCTTGGCTCTCCCGCTGGAGTTCACAGTTTCAGTAATTAAGTGAATGGTTCACCATTCTGCTAAAAAGTCACAGGTTGAAGGGGAATTAAATTTTTACAAGGAGTTTTACAACACAAAACAGAAGGCAGCAGTGAAATAGGATCTAGGCATGGTATTGCTGTGAATAAGATGGCGTTATCTGAGCCCTCCAATTTTTTTAGAAGGCTTCCACTTACAAAAGCAATTATGAAAATGCCCCAAAACATTAGCAGCAACTAAACTTGCACGTGACAGAAACCATGTATCTGAGAGCTGTTTTGATAAACTGGTCCCAATGTGGGATAAACAAAACACAGTTTAAGTGGACAGAGAAAGGACAGCAGTACAAATGTGTGTTTTTTCCTTAAGAAAATTCCTGCTGAGGGCATGTAAAACAAAGACCATAGTGGGGGGGGAAAATAATGTTCTTACTTGGAACAGAAAACATTTGATTCATTTCACAGTACTAACAAGTATCTTCAAGTACTTGAGTATGAAGAATGCCACTGGCACTGAACTCAGAGCAGCCAAGTAGGTAGCTCACACAGGTTAGCAGTGTGCATCAGCAGTCGGGTCCAAGATGCAATCCAAGTCCTCTAGAAATGTGCCATCTTGATCTCCTCTCCTTGCTGTAAATTATTTAAAGTTTCAACTTCCAGGGCTAGTGCACACTGTTAGTGCTCAAGACTGAAGCAGTAACATGGCAAGTCTTAGTTCACTAGATCAGATGCACAGAAACAAAACATGATCACAGGCATCCTTTTACAGCAAGTAAATTTTACATTATCTACAGCCCCACTGTTGGAAACACTACTGGTGAACTTTTCTCTGGATATGAGCAGTCATACCCTCTCTTTCCTCCCCTGCCACGTTTTACATCATTTTAGGGCAGAGATTTTTTTTGAGTCAGGACTGATGGTTATTTCAGCAACAACACTGCAGGCAGACACACTGCATCAGTTTTGAGCAGATAAAATCCTGAGCAGAAAAAGAAAGTCAAATTTCACAAGGGTTGGATCAAGACAGTGTCAAATGTCTTGTTACTGTTGCTGTAAGTTGGACAGTTGCTGTTAGCTCCAGCCTGAGCAAGCTCCAAATGCTCACTCAGCTCAGAGGTGTGGAATTGAAAATGGAAAAGGAAACCTAGT